CAAATATTGTGTATGAAATTCATAAGGATCAATATAGTTTTAATACATTAAATTCATAAATTTCTCCTTAAGGAGTCTCTAAGACTGTTAACTAAATGAAATCTACAATATTACAATTGATATGCTGTTTTTTAAAATGCTGATCTGATACTGATGCTAGCTGGATGCTGATGCTTATTTTGCTCTTGCACTGCATAATATGTTAACATTATAATATATGTGGCCATTTAGTCATCATTAACGTACCCGGTATATCGATGACGTATTATCAATTAACAATATAGATATTGATATAGATATAGATAAACGATTTACGATATATCCCGGTGAGCTTGAGATAAAAGATACACAGAGTATGACACAACTGTTTCATACTTGGATATTTTACTTGAAAAAGACGTTAATGGTAATCCAACAACCAAGATCTTAATAAACGTGATTACTTTAAGTTTTCAATTTTCTACTTTCCTTACTAATACAGCAATAGACCTTCATCAGCTGTATACGGAGTTTATATCTCTCAGTTGATTCGATACGCAAGAGCATGTTCTACATATATACAACTTCTAAAACGAGGTAAATTATTGACAAACGAGTTGATGAAACAAGAATATCAACAGTCTCGTTTAAAGTCATCATTCGTAAGTTCTATGGTCGATACAATGATCTCGTCAGCAAATACAATTTTTCATTAAGTCAAATACTGACCGAGTTTTGTTTTCGTATTTATTCGTAGTCAAATATTAAAACACTGAATTGACGATGGATTTTCCGTTATTTCCCCATCATGACAAGAAGCCCATGGCGGGTGTGACCGGTCAATAAGGGATGCTCACTCCTCCATGGCACCTGATCCCACCTCTGATGTTTTGGAGGTCCCTGTTTGCTCTGCTCCTATTTTGAATTGTTTTATGGACATTTGAGCTTGAATACTAGTTGTTATCTCCAGATATTTCATGACTTTCCTTTATATATCAGCTCGATATTTCTCAGTGAATTAAAAATAAAGCTACACGAGTCTGACAGCAATTCACCCTTATTACTTGCATACGGGGTTAATGCCTCACATTTGATTAGATACCCAAGATCATGTTCTACCTACAAACGTATTTTTAAACGATGGAAGGTATTGATAAACCACTTGTTAAAACAAGAATATCAACAGTCTTTTTAAAAATCATCATTTTGCAAGTTTCAAATCATGACCTGGTCCAGATTTATATATAGTTTATATAAAAATATTAAGAAAATACATAAGAAAAATGTTCTAAGAAAGATAACACTAACAGAAAATACAGTAGACAAAAATGTTTCTACACAGTCTAAGAAATGGAAATCTAATCTGCTGAATATGAAATATAGAGATAACAAATGTTATCAGCTTCAAAACTTTCCACTCATGAATGGCGTCGACCCAATTAACAAAAACAAATAAAAAAATTAGTAGCTTATACAATAATATAAAAAATAAAAATAGGAAAAACTGGATGATATGCGTGTCTCTGGGTAAAAATATCAACCGTTAACAGAAAATAGAAATTAAATATCAATTTCAAACTATGACCGAAGTAAAAACATCAAAATATCAATATATTATATTTTAAAACAGCTAATTTGGGAATAGAGGCTGATCAAAGTCTATTTTTCTTCCACTCGAGACGACTGAAATTCTGAAGAATAAAAATTGTGATTTTATTCCGCAGTTCAGTTTAAAGCATCGGATTGTAAATAAGGAAGACAAATAGATCGTAGCAAGCCCAAATAACCTAATATTAAATATCTTAAATATATTTTATTAAATCTAAGGGTATTATGACGCCATTTACTTTCAACAAAACTAGAGGTACCGTGAGCAACGAGTTTACTTAGTGATACCATCGCCTCCCATATGATTATCATGGCAAAGTCCATGTTTTGCCATGAAAAACCCAAATATGTGTCCGATCAAAAGTAAAATAGGAGGTGCACAATTGCACTATAAACAAAGATTCTGTAAAACTTGATTAAAGAACACGGTTCACTTTTGCCTTATTTGGCCCTGTGAATTTCTGAAAGACTGAAACTGCGTATTTTTAGTTAACAATACATTAGATATCACTTAGAACTTCGGTGAATGCGTATCTATCAAAAATGACGTCATTTCCTGGATAGTCAATGCATTATGACGTCACGAAATGCATCTGTTTCCTCATATTCTGAAAAAAGTGTACAAAAACGGCCAATTTCTAAAGCTATTTTTTGATATTTCATATAGAGCGCAACCTCTGATCTAAGATATGCAACTAGTAAATGATAGAACTGTTTCTGAGGATTAATGAACATATTTTATTTTTTAGATCAGAAAGTGCGCTCATATCATTTTTCTTAACTGAAAGTACTCAATTATACCTGTTTACCTAAAAATTCAAGAACACTGCAATTTCATAAAGCCAGTTCTCCAAGACTTGGACTTTGAGAAGAAAAATTTTAATAAGATGTGAAAGCACCAAGTCTCTACTTTATTTTAATGCTTCAAATAGAAAATCAAGTGTTAATCAATCAATAGGTATATCTGCAGAGCCATTTTATGCGTAAAGTGAACCAACTTCTTTCATTCGGTTTTATAAGAGGAGCTGCGGATAAGAGATGGGTACCCCGAAGCGTAACAGACGAACGGACGTATAGACAGAATGGCGGACGGACATCACGATCACTATACATGTATATCCTACTACTTTTCAAACGGGGGTATAACAAGAGATAGATAATTTCTTTCTTGAAAATAGTGTGATAAATTTTGCTACATGCTGCATTTAATTTTTAATTAACATAAAACTATTGCTTACAGAATTATCGTTGTTAGTGAGACGCGGAAATATGTAAGGTTATCAGATGTGTTGTGTACTTACTTTATCAACTCTTAAACTTACCTCCTATATCTATTATCATATATTTGGTCCCTCTTTCGGATAAGTAACCAGAGTTTCTATGGTCTGGGAGATGTTGGCAGTATATAGATGCTGCTTCTGGTTCCAGAGCAATAGACAACAGTTCACCAGGTATCCCAGCCTAAATTTATTAAATGATTATTAAACATTAGGTACGAAAAGGTAATTCACGTAAGAGTTGAGTTCGCAAAAATATTTAAAAAAGAAATAGACAAACAAGGAAATAGCTACTTACAAGTTCTGCACATTTGCGCATGAATTTCTTTGCAGAGTCGCTCCATATAGCAGGGACCGTAAGCACCCATCGAATTTCACTTGTTGTAATATCAAATCCTTGCAATGATAGTCGGTCCATCAGATGGTCCTTTAAAGCTTTAATGGATTTTGTGAACACATCTTTCGCTGGCCAAGGTTTCCCGGAGATATCAGGTATTTGGGTGTCTTCTTTTAAGAGCTACAAATAACATTGTGTATCTTATATTATTTTTACAATATGTAAAATATTTTTACATCAAGAAAACACTTATTTATCATGAAGAAAAATTTTTACGACTACTTACATCTCGGTTGTGGAGTTTCATTTTAAATCTAGAGAAGAACAAATAATTATCGCTGTCTCCATCCATCACCAAACTACCGTGTTTGTTTTCAGCTTCGTAACCAAAAGAGACAAATCCACCTTCAGAGTCCAGAAGAAGAGAAGTAGGGGTCTTCATTGATGCCAAGGAACTCCCTCCAGCATTCCAGGCCTGATTCGCGTGGATCTTAAGAGGGCTTTCCCTGTATTCAGATCGAGAGCTAAAGGCATACCCTGAGTATGTGGTCCCAAAATCCAGAGCAGCCACATACAGATAGTCTTCAGATTTTACTAAATCTTTATCACCATAAAAGCTGTTTTCATCCATTTTTGTAACGTGTTTTAGTACAAAAGGTATTAAATTATGTTAAAGCCTCAAGTTAGTGTTAAAATACCTGATCGTAAGTAAAGGTTGTGTGATGAATATTTCTTTGTGTGACGTTTGATAAAACAATCCTTGAACCTATTCTTAAATACTGTAAATACTGATATGCTTTAATCGGAAAATAAAGAGAAAGTACAAGTCATTTAAGATTAGGACATAACGTATCATAGCAGTTTATTTTTAATCTCCTAGTACATTTTTGAAAAACATGACATACAGACTGTATATTTATGAAATTACAGTAACATTTATTAGCTATTAGCATACCGATTCAAGAAAATGTGTGTCAAAATTTTAGAAAGTCCTGAAAGATAAACGAAAAAATAGCTATCGATAAAGGTAGTATTAATGTGATTTATTCATACCAATAGTTTGAATCATTTTTTAAAAATCTTACTTTGCCTGCTTTTTGTTTCTCCTGCAGAGCGTTGTAAATTTTGAGATATTGGTCAAAATATGCGATTTTCAGGCAAAAGACATCTTGATTTCCTAAATATATCTTCATTTCTCGACAAGACTTAGTGTTGAGTGAACGTGTTATTTTTTTTCTTGAATATAAAATAAAACCTATATTTAAATTACTAGCATATATACTGTAAAACACGCTTATAGCGAACACGTTTATAATGAATATAATGAATAATATAATAATAGCCTTATATTAAACAACACGATACTGCAATGAATAACAATGATTTAATAACAGAAGAAGACATCAAAAATCCTTCACCATTATACTATCTTAATGGAAATTTAATGGAGATCAAAACTGCAGATTTCTTACCAAATATTTTGCTAATATCCGTTTCACAAAGTTTTAAATATGATATTACTAAGTTATGATGTCTCATCTGCTCAACGTTGATCTCACAAACTATGACAATCTTCTTTAAAGTTTACAGTTATCTCCTTGTTTGAAGGTGGTTGTTATATTTTGTTTAGGTATAATTTTCAAGTTTTTCTCTTAAAAATGATGTAAGCCTAAACTTCTTTGTTCTAATTTGCACATTATTTAGATGGATTAAGGAATACCAACTTATAAATTAACTGGTAATTTTTAATTTTGCTTCTATTATTGATGTTTTGCGAGGACAATACAGAATATATAAATGAGAGGACATGTATTCTAAATTATTATTTTTTGCTTTAAGTTGGATAAAAGTTGCCAAATTATCTACATTTTTCTAGCTCAATCAGTATTTCCATCTCCATTCTCGCTATCTTTCATTTTTAGCGTGCAGCTTGTTGGCACTTTAGTAACGGCATCAATAGCCATCACTTTCAATTCTGTGTCTCCAAAGATGTAAACTACAACGAATGGTTGGGCTCCTGTTTGACCTCTATTGAGAAGCCCCATTAAAAAATTCACTGGAAGAGGAACATAAAATTCTCCAAGAAGAAAGCATTCGGGATCATCTGTATATTTAATTTCGTTCTTCGGTGAGCAAAAGATTTTTAATAAAACTCCATCTTGGAGGCAAGAGGCGGCTGAATATCCTTTAATTTCCTCATGTCCTATGTCAACCTCAGTCCCTGCAGCTAGGATTACCCTGAAACAATCACGACATCTATCTACCCCGTCAATTGTGATTTTCCTGTCTTTATCGTGAATATTCGGATCGAATTCTGGACAATCTGCAGTCCCGTAGGTAAAGCGCAAAATTCTCGATTTTATGAGTGTTGGATCATGACCGAAGATAACAGCTCCTTTCAGCACCGCAACCCTGCCCCTGGGGGTATAATCAACCGAACTGAATCAAAAGCTTTTTCAACCTCGGATTGTATATACTTGGAATCGGCTGATCCCCCAACTAACAAAATAATAGATATTCCATCTGTCTGTGGATTTTGCAGAACCTGTTGCATATGCCGAATAATTTCTTTTATCGATGGATCGAAAAACTTCTTCATTGTCGCAACATCTACATGCAGTTTGTCCAGCTTCAATCGCATTCCCTCTACATTCTCGAATAACTCGATCAAAGACTTTCCTGAAATTTTCTCTGATAACTCATTCAGTGCAACATATGATATTGTCAATCGAATAGGGCCTTTGCTGCTCGGTGTGAATGACCGTTTTGCAACTTCGAACTCCCTAAATATATCAATATATGTTTCTGTTTTCGATTGACGTAGTGATTGCATGACTTTTTCTCTCAGTACGCCGGTGAGACGTTTCTCAAATTCTCTGTCAACTGCTGTCCCGCCACACGCTCCTCCTGTAGCTTGGTGAAGTTCTCGTAGTTTTCCATCTTTGACCTTTTCATGAACCGTAATATCAGCAGTACCTCCTGTTGATTAAACCAGAGTAAAAGGAACCTTTTCCGTTTCGACTTAAAGAGTTCTATCATCAATTTGATGTAGTGATTTTCAAAAGTAACCAATTCTATCATAGATTTCCCCCATTCTCGCAATGCCAGGTGTCCGGAGTCAACACGTTACCGTTGGACCCCTGGCCTATTTAATTCAATATACACGGGATGACTGAAGCGACATCTTCAGGAAAATTACAAATCTTGATTGTTTTTCTTATCTCTCAACAAATCACATTAAGCCATTCTATGATAAACAAATTGTAACGCGTGCATTTGAAGTGTCATATGGATCCATTTTGTTCTAACTGTTTATGAAAGCTTTAATTTGATTGATGCTTCTCAATGAGAGAAGCAAGCCCTAAAATTTCTAGTGAAATATGCCAGAGGTCCAACGGCAACGTTTTTGGTTCAGGACACCTGGCATTGCGAGGATGGATGTATGCATGAAGAAAATGATCAGAAAATTCAGCCATAAAAAACTCCACGAGAACCCTGTTTGGTTAGAGTTTCCATATTAAATGGTAATGATCCAATTTACTAACATCAATGATTGGGTTAAATAACCCAAAAAATACATTTTTTTGAGTTTACTAAACATTTGTGTTGAAAACCGTGTAAGGTGTAATATGATTTACAATATTCATATTTCTTTTGTATGAAATAAACAAACTTTTAAGATTGATAGTCTTTAACTATGTGACAATATAAACCAGGTAATATATTTTCACATTTAAACATTCTTTCTAAAAAATTTTAATTAATGGAAAAAATCCATGAGGTAGCATTGAACTTAGTATAAAACAAATTTATTTCATATCCTTTGATTTTTATGTAAAAGTTTTTGATCAGTGCTTATTGCACCCTTGATACTGAATTTAAAATATAATTTAATGTTAAAAAACAGCATCATCAAAATTACACTCCTTACAGCACATATATATTATATATTTGATTCAAATGTTCTAATTTCAAGTAACCTAAACACTTGAGTTTTTAGAATTTTACTTAAAATGTCCAAAATATCAAATTCCAAACCTGGTTTGAATTTGAAACTTTTTCAAAAACTCTTTTGGTTAAGCAAAATATCTTTTAGATGTTAGAATATTGAACTAATATTCAAAATTCAAATCGGGATTGGAATTTGATATTTTAGATATTTAAAGTAAAATTCTAAAAACCTCAAAAACTTCCATTTCACTTTTTTCTGGTCCAGTGGTTCTTGAGAATTTTTTTACCGACCAAACCTTCTTTAAACTCTTCTTAATTGTTTCCCCTTGTGAACTGCTTAACACTTTATAGCTTACAATTAATTTCCTTATAGACAAGGATGCTATCTGTCAAAGGATCTGTGCATTTTATCTATGAGAAATATAAATTTCCGAAGTTTCTCAACTTTCTGTATCAGAGTTATTAAATACATGTCTAAAGAGCAGGGTTTGATACTCAAAATCTCATGAAAGTATTAAATAAATGCCGAGCGACACTGGCTTTTTCGATGGGGGTCTAGCAGTTTTGTCACATTTCTATTGTTATGTATATGCATACCAGTTTTCAACAAAATTGTATACATCGAGCTGCAACTTGTTCATTTGTATCATTTGCACATTATAACTTATTTTGATTTAAACTCAGACATATCCATTGGACAATGTTGCACATTTTCAGCTTATGTCTATTTTTAGAAAAAAAGTCTCCAAACTATGGTCGAATTAGCTTTCCCGAGTGTCAACACATTTTGTTATTGGTTACATTATTAATATGTGAAATATTTACAGATGGAGGGAGTTCGGTAATCAGTTCTAAAAAAAATCACTTCAGGTTTCAACTCAGCTGGTCTATAATTTTTTACTGTGTTTGACAAATGTTTCCAAATGTTTGCTAATGTATTTTTGGTTTTTAAAATAGTCCATACCTCCTATGTCAACGATCATATACTGCTAACTATAGTAAACTATATTTAAAGCTATATATGCCGTATTAGTGTTTTATTTTAAAAGTAATAAATATATGTGGTGTCTCATCAAGTTATATAAGTTATATACTTTCTGCAATTAAGACAATTCCCCTCCATCACTTTTAAAAGTTATGAAATATTATTTGGTAAAAATTATTTTCTCTCCGTGTCGGATAAAAAACCGCCTCTTATTGAAATATTCATGATCACGTTGTCTCGCATGTTTACAGCAAACAATGGTCCAATCTCGTGAATGAACCGAAAACTACGTTTTTACTACAAACACGTGAGTTAGGGATTGTCAATATTGAGAGCACCTCAGAGTTGGTTACTTTTTGTACCGAGGAATAATCACGTGCAATTGTCTTTTCAATGGACATTTTCGGTTGGGTGAACTTCTACAGATGTCAGCGACTATGGATAAAGAAGTGTGGAAACCATGTTGTGCCAAAATGAAATAACTAATACAAACAAATTATATAATTTGATCAATCAAAATGGTTATTAGATACATTCGATTCTGCATTTCTTAATGGTTCAAAACAACAAAAAGTATTCCACAGAATATCATGTATAAATCTGCACAATATACCGAATGCCAAAACCAGAATACTACGAAATAATATAAATATATTCTTTACATATGAACCACAGTATTTCTGACCCCTTGAAAATATTATAAAAAAATCTTGCAAGTAGGTTATCAGCATTGGCTCGGGCTAATTCGAAAGTGAAATTTGGAGTTTGGCCGTACATTGTAGTGAATGAATAAAATTTAGTAGTGAAAGATATTGGAACCTATTTTACTTGT